TTAGGACACCTAAATAGACACCAGCAAATTCACACAAGGGAGAAGTCCTACCAGTGTTCACAGTGTGGGAAGAGCTTCAGTCGATTAGGACACCTAAATAGACACCAGCAAATTCACACAAGGGAGAAGTCCTACCAGTGTTCACAGTGTGGGAAGAGCTTCAGTCGATTAGGACACCTAAATAGACACCAACAAATTCACACAAGGGAGAAGTCCTACCAGTGTTCACAGTGTGGGAAGAGCTTCAGTCAATTAGGAAACCTAAATAGACACCAGCAGATTCACACAGGGGAGAAGCCCTACCAGTGCTCCCAGTGTGGGAAGAGCTTCAATCGTTTAGCAAATCTAAAGGACCACCAGCGGACTCACACAAGGGAAAGTCCCTACCAGTGCTCCCAGTGTGGAAATAGCTTCAATCGTTTAGGAACCCTAAAGAGACACCAGGGGATTCACACAGGGGAGAAGCCCTACCAGTGCTCCCAGTGTGGGAAGAGCTTCAATCGTTCAGCAAATCTAAAGGAGCACCAGCGGACTCACACAGGGGAGAGGCCCTACCAGTGCTCCCAGTGTGGGAAGAGCTTCAGTCGATTAGGACACCTAAAGCAGCACCAGAAGACTCACACAAAGGAAAGTCCTTACCAGTGCTCCCAGTGTGGGAATAGCTTCAGTCAATTAGGAACCCTAAAGAGACACCAGCAGATTCACACAGGGGAGAAGCCCTACCAGTGCTCCCAGTGTGGGAAGAGCTTCATTCGTTCAGCAAATCTAAAGGAGCACCAGCGGACTCATACTGGGGAGAGGCCCTACCAGTGCTCCCAGTGTGGGAAGAGCTTTAGTCGATTAGGACACCTAAAGAGACACCAGCGGATTCACACGGGGGGAAGACACTACCAGTGCTCCCAGTGTGGGAATAGCTTTAGTCATTTTGAATCCCTAAAGAAACACGAGTGCATTCATGCAGGAAAGAGGCCCTATCAGTGCTCCCAGTGTGGGAAGAGCTATAGTCGATTACGACACCTAAAGGAGCACCAGCAGACTCACACAGGGGAAAGACCTTACCAGTGCCTCCAGTGTGGGAAGAGCTTCAATCATTTAGGAAACCTAAATAGACACCAGCGGATTCACACAGGGGAGAGGCCCTACCAGTGCTCCCAGTGTGGGAATAATTTCACTCGATTAGGAAACCTAACTAGACACCAGCGGATTCACACAGGGGAGAGGCCCTACCAGTGCTCCCAGTGTGAGAAGAGCTTCCATGAATTAGGACACCTAAAGGAACACCAGCGGACTCACACAGGGGAGAGGCCCTACCAGTGCTCCCAGTGTGGGAAGAGCTTTAGTCAGTTCGGAACCTTAAAGACACATCAGCGGATTCACATAGGGAAAAGACCCTACCAGTGCTCCCAGTGTGGGAATAGCTTTAGTAATTTTGAATCCCTAAAGAAACACCAGTGCATTCAGGAAGAAAAGAGGCCCTACCAGTGCTCCCAGCGTGGGAAGAGCTTAATTCGGTCAGGAACCTTAAAGATACACCAGCGAACTCACACAGGTGAGAGGCCCTATCAGTGCTCCCAGTGTGGGAAGAGCTTCAGACTATTAGGAAACTTAAAGAGACATGAGCGGATTCACACAGGAGAGAGGCCCTACCAGTGCTTCCAGTGTGGGAAGAGCTTCAGTCGTTTAGAACACCTAAAGGAGCACCAGCAGACTCACACAGGGGAAAGGCCCTACCAGTGTTCCCAGTGTGGGAAGAGTTTCCTTCGGTCAGGAGCCTTAAAGGAGCACAAGCGGATTCACACAGGGCAGAGGCCCTACAAGTGCGCCCAGTGTGGGAAGAGCTTCAGTCGATTAGGACATATGGAGAGGCACCAGCAGATTCACACAGTTGACAGTTTATCACAGTAAGCCCAATAAATATGTTGTTCAATGTTTTTGTGAAAAGTGTTTTTGTTAGGTGCCCAGCATCAGTCCTGTTGATGTTTAGTATTTGCTTTACAAATACAAATACAGTTTGTTACAATATATTAAATCAAATAGCCTTTTATTGTCAATTCATTATATGTCCATAACATACAGGGAATCAAAATGCCGTTTCTCTCTCCTCTTCATAGTGCAAAAATATAAAAGTATACAAGATAAATACCATCTGTACAATATGTAAAAGTCGGTAGTGCAAAGACAGCAAAAGACCAGTCACAGTCGTCAAGTGAGGAGGTGCATTTTTGGAGTAGCTTTTGAGTTGTGCAAGACAGTTAGCAGCAGAAGTAATATTGAGACTTTACATGGTAGCGGCTACAGTAGGGTACTTGGTAAGTAGTGACTCTCTTGTTACGGTCCAGGGGCAGGGGGCAAGGGGGGGGTGGTAGTGGACAGAGTTCAGCATCCTGTCAGCTTGGTGGATGAAGCTGTTGGACAGTCTTGTGGAGCCCGGAGGCTCCGGTACATTTTCCCTGAGGGGAGGAGGCTGAGGAGGGAGTGCCGTCATCAGCAATGCTGATGGCTCTGCGGTTGAGGCGGATGTAGAAAATGTCCTTGAGGGAAGGCAGTGGGGCACTGATGACCTTGCTCGCTGCATCCACTATGCTTTGCAGGGACTTCTACACGATGCAGTGCAGCCTCCATACCACACAGAGATGCAGCTGGTGAGGATGCTCTCGATTGTGCCCCGGTAGAATGAGCACATGATGGGAGATGCGATGTGTGCTCTCCTCAGTTTGCGTAGGGAGTAGAGGCGGGTTTGAGCTTTCTCAGCCAGTGACGTGGTGGTGTCTGACCAGGAGAGGTCCTCCAGAGATGTACGCCCCCAGGAACTTGGTGCTACTATGTGATTTTCTGTTGAAGATATCTCTTGTACAGAACACATACATTTTTCTGCAAATGAAAATCCGAAGACAAATGCCTTAGGATTGTCTGTGCACTGTATACACAGTATAGTATTTTAAATCTTTTTCCCACTTTACAAAGTACAAAACATGGCTCACCCGACCTCACCATCTCCGTGTTCCAGAAGGGACGTGTGTGCTGGCATTGGGCTCCTGTACAAAACTTATATAATTAGAACTGATTGCTCAGAGTGGAGTTTGTTCAAACATTATTTGAAACATTTACCTCTTCCCCTGATGGTCAGATAATGTCTTCATCGACTACATCACATGGGTCAATGTCTCGTTGGTCAGACACAGGTTCAAGGGTTATGATATTCCCTGCAACTGACCCATCAAAGAAACAAAAACATTAATATTAATAAAAAATAACCACCCAGGGGAAAAAAAGGAACATATGGAAATTATACCACAAGTCTTCTGTGAACGCACCTATGGCACCCACGGAGCACAAATATATGCAAAGCTCATCCTGTACCTGAAATGAAGTGACCACTGCTACATGCTGCCACTGGCTCTGTGTAGGAGCTTCCCCCTTCAATGCCCTGAGAAACATGTGGTGGGCATTCTGCTGGAGAGCATCTCTGCCTTCTATAAAAACTGTAAAGTTGTACAACAAAGAAAACAAGTATGTGCTTTTTATAACATCACACGTAGAACATTCATAATGGTTATTACATTGCATTGTATCACATTATGTAAATATTTAGTTCAATTCAATTTTATTTGTATAGCGCATTTTCACAACATTACATTGTGACAAATCGCTTTGCATTATCTCCGGCCAAATACCCCAGTGAGCAAGCCAGAGGCGACAGTGGCAAGGAAAAACTCCCTAGAAGGAAGAATCCTTGGGAGGAATCAGACACAAATGGGGAGCCCATCCTCCAGGGGGCAGCAGAGGAAGCCCTAACCCTAACCAGACCCAAAGAAGGGGGAGCCCATCATCCAGGGGGCAGCAGAGGAAGCTCTAACCCTAACCAGACCCAAAGGGGGGAGCCCATCCTCCAGGGGGCAGCAGAGGAAGCCCTAACCCTAACCAGACCCAAAGAAGGGGGAGCCCATCCTCCAGGGGCCCAAGTTGCGAGTAAAATGTCCCTCTCAACAAGACTTCACTCACCGCGGTCGGAGCATACACACAAAACACCCAAGGAGTGCCTTAGCCTGAGTCTCATAATACGCTCGAGTGACATCAGACACTATCGGGAGGAGCCGATCCACTACAGCAACAGCTACTCCCTGAGTGTGGCAGCCACCAGACTGACCAGACCAAAAGCAGGGATACCCACCTACAGAGATCTGGCCACTCCCCGGTCTGCGTTTACGAAGCTCCCCGACAGTGTAGAAAGATGGTCATCTTGCCGGAGAGACAAGACATTCCACACGCCTACCCGGATGGGCTCGAAGTCTTTCCCCCATCCCCTTCATGGTGCGCGCAGAGCTACCTCTGCATAAGCTACCAGCAAAGCTACTCCCACGGAGAGCAGAAAGGTATCGTGCCTGTTTATTTCACGCTGTTGCGAGTTGGTTTATGGTGACTGGAGTGCTAATCCTGCCACTAACCCCCAAAATATTTTCCCTGCAATGTGGAGGACCGCTTGCAGGGCCGGATGCAGTTTAACGTCATACCCAGGTATTTATTAAGAGTGTAAAAAATAAGACAGCTCTCAAACAGGAGCTCCCATCATTCACGTAAACGAGCCGGCTCATAAAACCGAAGCATCACTATTGTGCAAGTAATTTTTAACTCTGGCGGCTAAGTAAAGCACAAAAGCACCCCCTATAGTTACACACAACTTCTACCTAAAATAGGGATCACAGTGCCATCTACTGGTTAGGCGTATTTATAGTACCTAAGGTCCATAGATAAGATCCGCTAAGACGGGGGTCACCAACTCCGGTCCTGATGAGACACACTACCAGGAGCAGGTGTGGCTCATCAGAAGCTAGGTAGGATAGAAAACTTACTGGATAGTAGCCCTCCAGGACTGGAGTTGGTGACTCCTGTCTTAGCGGATCTTATGTATGGACCTTAGGTACTTATACGCCTAACCAGTAGATGGCACTGTGATCTCTATTTTAGGTAGAAGTTGTAACTATAGGAAAGGAACTGAATAAAAAGAAACATTGATTTGTGCTTAAGAATGCCGGTGTTGGCTGCGTTATTGAACCACTCCACGAAACCTTACTAAAGGGCACCAGTACACCACAGCGGGATACTTCACTCATGAAATAAGAACATACATAAGAACATAAGAAATTTACAAACGAGAGGAGGCCATTCGGCCCATCAAGCTCGTTTGGGGAGAACTTAGCTAATA